TGTACATAATGTAGTCTTGTCCCACATTGGAATAGGAGTAGTATGTCCTTGTATAGTATAGCTCTAAATAAGGCCTTCTTGTATTGTATTGAACACACAATATCAATATATCATATTTTCTCCCGTGCCTTCTTACAGCTGCATCACTGTTTTTACCTAGTTCAGGGTTTTGCATGCCCTTTTCAATGGAAGATGTTCATTTGGCAAATTTTCTTTGATTTCAACTGCCATGATTTTGTGTATTTTTGATGGCCTTGGTGATCCACTTTACTGTTTGTTTCTCATATTGGATGAATTAAAATAACTAACCTGCAAAGTTTGATGCGACAGAGATGTATGGGCGTTCCTATTGGTATCCAAGGTTCAGTACTGCAGTCTTTATGATCAGGGGTAATTTTCTGTTGTGTCACTTCAAAATTTTATTAGATTCATCATCCTGCAATTACACGAAAAATATGAAATCTTAATCTTTCTCTTTCAATTTTTGAGATTTATACTAGTATCTCTTATATTGCTGATCTGATTTGTGCTACTCAATACTCATGAATTATACTTTGGAACTTCAACTTCCAGAGCTATACTCATTGATTTGACCATCTATTTGTTTACTGCTCTTGTAGGTATACCTCAATTGGGAGCATTCATGACACTGTTCGTAATGCACTTTTGTGCATCAGGAACTCCGACAATAGTGAAGAGAAGTTTAAACCTGCCTATTTACTTGCTGATGGAAGGTTGGAAAGAGCTGGAAGGGTAAAGAAGAACTCCTCTCTGGTGTGTGGGAAATTATCTTCTATTAGCAATGGAGTGAAAATGGAGAATTTGAATTCCGGCAGCATGCTTACTGCCTCGATTATTACTGTGGGGGATGAAATTTTGTAAGTTATTGTTGCTTGACATTTGTATTTGATGATCCTTGTACCATGTTCACATGCTCTTCTAAGTGGCTTCTTCTCATTATATGTAATTTTTGTTGGATTTCTGCCATATCTTTATCACTGATATTGTCCTTTAGCGTGTGTTCTTTTGAATTTTCTATTGATTGTTAGGACTTCATATTCTAGTTTTTGGTTCTTCTATGATCGGCTGTTATTGAACCTGAGAGTATTTATTAAAAGTTATAAATTGTTGAACCTGAATGTGCTTTAGTTGTTCTTGAAACACACAATCTCTTCGGTAACTAAATTTCCTGCAAGTGAATCAAATTTCTGCAATCACATAGTTTCTCCCTAACCCAGCTATCTCAGCTGATTTTTGGAAACAAGTTATCCTCTATTTCAATGGAAATTTCCCTCTAATTGAACTCTTGAGTCTATAATACAGAAGGAATATAACAATCATATTTTGAAGTGTAAACGAAATTGGCGTTTTATATTAGAAGATTTCATTTGAATTTTGTATTCTTTATCTGGTTAAATGGATATAATATTTTTTCATAGGCATTTAGTCAAACGACAGTGACTTGGTGAGAGGCAGAGCATGGTCTTGGATTCTAGTTGATGTGTCACATTAACTCATTTTGACTTTCTCTTTTGGTAACCGGATGGACATAAGGAGACACCTTCAATTTTCTGTGCATTGGTCAAATTAGATGTTTACATTTTTCGTTTACTATGCGGTTACGTGTAATGCAGAATATAGTCCATCTTTTCAGTTTGCTCTACATTAACTCAGCCATTTGAGGCAGAGAGCTAATAGGCTAGGGACAAGTGAATATATATTCGCTCTGAATCTAAAATCTAATATTCCATGCCGTCTACATCTGCTTGCTTATCAGATATTTTTCTCTTGGTTCCATAGCTCAGGTTTGGCACTGTAGAGGACAAATTGGGGTCTATGTTGTGTAAAAAGCTCCATTCTATTGGTTGGGCAGTATCGCGAGTTGCTGTCACTCGAAATGATGTAAGTAATATGTTATTGGGAGCTTTTGCAATTGTTTGAACTGTGCATGCAGTCAGAAGAAAGATGTCAAAGGTAGAAATAAAATCCTCTCTAATAAGCTTCAGGGAAAAAATGGATAGCTTAACCCGAATATCTCCCTAGTAATTGGAAAAGATTCATTACCATTCCAAGCCAATTATTAGCTAGAACAGTCAATTGTAATTGCTTTCCTGAAGCACGCCGGCTTTTTCCTTTATTTGCCACCTTGATAGTTGAGAAACCTTAAACCTTTTTAATTTGAAATTTATTCTAATCTCCATTTGTAATCTCGTCCTTCTCAATTTCAGATAGATTCTGTAGCCGAGGAAGTAGAGAGACAGAAGTCCACAGATGATATGGTAAGAAGCATTTGTCAGTATGGATTGTATCGTAGACCAGTCTGCATCAGTTTTGTATGTCTGTCTGTGCTTGTCTGTGAGGAAATACTACCAGCTCTGAGCATAGGTTTTAAAAATTGTTATCTTCCAACAGGTACTTATATTTGGCGGGATAGGCCCATTGCATTCAGATGTTACTGTAGCAGGAGTAGCAAAAGCCTTTGGTGTTCGCATGGTACATAATATTGATCCTTCTGCGTGCTTTTAATCCACGACTTAGCCTGAGCAATAGCTTCTGAATGATTTAACTTTGTAGCATGGAAACTTTTAAACTATTTGCATGTCTGGCTGATGTGGCATACGTTGCAAACTTGATGTGCCATGTGTCGTACGCTGTTGGCTGCTTTCATTAAGTAATTTCCCTCATTGGTGTGTGTTGTGTTCTCTCAGAGAACACATCTGAAGTTGTAATTCCTTGCTTTTATTTTCTTTTCTACTGGGATGGATGGTTTAGTCAAGTTAATAGTTTAAATGAAGGTACAGGTCTTAGAGAAGGATGATCAAACATCTAATTTTAAATTACCATGGATAAGTCACCTAGATACTTTATTGGTAAATGTATTTGATGCATAGATGTCTATGATTATGTGTTTATAAATGTGAATATGGTTTTTACATATAGGTTTAGATATGTTAATACAACTATAATGCTTTAAATAATTAAATATTCACTATTACTTTAGTTTTATAATCCTTGTGTCATTCTGCATGTTCGAAAGATACGACAGTGGTGCCAGAGTCTGTGATATTTATGAAACTCTTTCAAAAATGTTATTTGATATTTCGCTTTACACTGATATATCAGTGTCTCAAATCTTTCCATTACTTTCTTTTTCAGGCTCCTGATGAAGAATTTGAAGAACATCTGAGGCACCTTATAGGTGAAAAATGCTCCGGTGACAAGAACGAGGTCAGAGCTTTTCTTTAATGCAATATTGTGGGCAAGAATGGCACAGTGTTGTTACTATCGTACCTGTGCTTTTTGAGTTTGGTGCTTCAGTTACTTTCTATTGCACTGGTATTAAGAAATCTCTCATTTCATTCTGTTAGGAGTCGATTGAAAGTTTAAATGAAAAAGCTCCTTGATAGGCTGGAATCCAGTTTACATGAACAAAATTGTATTTTTTTCTTGAAACCTTGGAATTCATTTCTGCACCTTGATTGGTAAATTAGCTGAATAATATTAAGGCTTTTTCAATATAGTTCTCATATCCGAAATATTAGACATCCAAAGCAAGTAATAACCTGAACGGTAAGGAAAAGCTTGGAGATATTACTTTTCTACAGGATGAATCAGCCTTTTCAGACGCATTTCCATTTATGATTACATGCACTAGAAAGATCCTGACCCAAAAGTTTCAAGTCCTGATACTTTTCGTCAAGGCAGTTCTGGAATTTGTGTCATTCCAGAGAGTGTTCCACTAAACTGATTTTGAAATTATGTACCATCTTGTGTGCCCATCAACTAACTGACTCTGAAAGATACAAATTAAATAAGTGGAAGGAAGAACATACTTATTTATCATTTTCAGGAAAAACATCCTTATTTATAAAGGTAACCCTTGTTTCTTTTCCTATTCCAGATGGCGCTGTTGCCCGAGGGTATTACAGAATTGTTGCATCATGAACAGCTACCTGTGCCTTTGGTATGTTGGCCATTATCTGAACTATGATGGTTATTTTAAGTTCTTTCTGTAGTTTTGACATTTTATTTCTTTTAGAGTGTAAAATAATATCCAACTTCATTCTCAACCATTATATATTTTGCTAAGTTTTTGTTTTTATATTGTGTTAAAACATCTTCAATCGCACTTAGAGAGGACGTTTAGACGTAGGTACATTTTCTAATTATTGTTTTCAACTCAAGGTTTGTTTAATTTGCTGAGTTTTTGTTTGTATGTTGTCTTAAAAAATTTTCCACACACCTTGAGGATTGTTTAGGCTTAAGTATAAATATTGTTTATATTTATTTATGGAAGTAGCTTTAATGAAACTCACATGCAGCTTACTGCCCTGAAAACTGTCTATTTTTAAGTAAGAAGCTATCAGCCCCTAGAATGGTCTATCTTTCTAAACAATGTTGCTCGGATCCTTCAAAAAAATTTCTGCATCCTTGACCATCCGACACAATTTGGATGTGGGTGTGGGATTTGCACCAGATTTGGTCAAAATCTAACTTGGGTGCTGTGACTATACCTATGGCCAAGAAGTTTAGGTTGACTGGATATTTGGTTTGATTTTTGGTTTATGTCATATGTATATTCACATAAGTACTAGAACAATTTGCTATTTTACAAGATACTGTATGAATAAAATATTAAGGGTTTAGTTTTTACCAGAGTACTTTTTGCTCTGGCTATTAAAGACAGTTATTTCGACCACAATTGCTTTTTGCTTTCTAGTTACTAACAAAGCTCAAGAAGCATAAATAGATAATGATAGATTCGAACCAAGATTCTGGAAAAACTAATTACTTTTCTCCGTTCAAACTATTATATACTCCTTCTTTCCCAATTTATGTGACGCACTTTCCTTTTTAGCCTGTCCTAAAAAAGGAATGATACCTTTCTATATTTAGGAACAATTTAACTTTAAACTTTTCATTTTACCCTTAATAAGATGATTTATAGTCACACAAATATTTATATTAGATTACAATATATATTTATAGCAATTTATAACTATGCAATAGACACTTCCCACTCAACTTAATTGACAGGAATGGATTTAAATTACCTTGTAAATCGAAAATAAGTTACTTTTCAACAATCTAAATAACTAATTGGCATATATATTATTAGTTGTATCCTAGCATCAGTGTATATCCACACTCGGATCCATACCCCCAAATCCCAAAATTCATGTGATGATGAATCCGACCTCTAGACCCACACTCGTATTTAATACCTGACCCATATCCGACCAACATAGTTTTCCAACCATAAGTAGCTTGTTCTATATTTGCTGGTCGTTTTTATTTCCATTTTGTTCTGGTCATTACATTCATGTTATGTCTCTATCAGATGTCTACCTAGTGTCCAAGTGGGTGGTCCAATTGAAAATTTTGCTTTATTTTTACATTTTTGTATATTGAGCCCGTTTGGCTTAGCTGATTTAGAGTAGCTGATAAACATTAGGTGCTGAAAAGCACTTTTAAGTGCTGAAACTGATTTAAAAATAAGCAGTTACGTGTTTGGATAAAAGTGCTGAAATTGATAATAAACAGCTGAAGAACTGGGTATACGAAGAGTTTTGTTTTAAAAATAAGTATTTTAGGGATAGAATAGTAAATATTTTGGTCAAACCTAAAGTGCTTATAAGCTGAAATTTGATAAGTTGGAGGAGACCAACTTATGACTTTTGGCTTATTTTTGGCTTATAAGCACTTAACTAATAAGCACTTTTAATTTTGCCAAACGCATAGATAAGCCAAAAAGTGCTTATAAGCCAGTTTGACCAGCTTATAAGCTTAGCCAAACACCCTCATTGTCATCTACTAAATTGATTTGCCAAGCTCTATTGTCAAAATTGGAGATTCAGTTAGTTAGGCCTTTCCTTTGATGCTACTTAAAAAATAGCACGCTAGGAATAATTTCTCAAGTTCCATGTACTTTAATTTTTTGAATTTGGAAATCAAATAAGACATTCTTTTCATCAAGTGGTAAAACACCTTAAAAGAGTGGCATAGGGCGCAAAAGGCAAGTGACAACCTCATAATTTATTTAAGCGAGTGGAAGGCGGTTTTAGTAGATTTGTTTTTCATGCAGTGAATCAATTCTCATTCATACTGATTTGAGAGTATCCAACAAAAAAGATCCAAACGGCTGAATGTATCTAGCTATAAGTCAGGACCTCTTTTTCTTGGTAACTAACAGTTTTTGTATTAATCACCAGTAAACTTTACATATCCATGGCCTGCTTATAACTCAGCAGCTATCAATCTTACAGAAACTAAAGCCTTACACTAACTGTCTATATCAAAACATAAAATGTTGCACCGTGCTACTAATCCCAGTGGTGGCTCGTAAGTTGCATATGTAGGCTACGTCTCGTGCAATACTATCAACTCCTCTGCTTCTCTTTTCAAACAATCGCTGGTTCCTTTCTATCCAAATGAAGTGAGTTAACTCAGCATATACCATCCTATAGACTTGTGCTCGTTGTGTTTTACCCTTGGCACATTGTACAACCCAGTGCATATGTTGTTCCCAATTATCCCTAGCAACATCCTGCCTTTACATCCATTGTAGGATTCTCTGCCACAACTCCTTAGTGTTCCCTGATCTCATCATGAGCTTGGCATAAAGAGCACCTGGAATCTACAACTAGTCCCCATTGTATCAACCTATCTGCAGTCAACATTCTCCCATGTAGTTGTAGCCACATGGTAAATATAGATTTTGGCCTGGCATTGTTTTGAAACATCAGGCATTTCCAGTTAACTCTTGGTCTGTCTCCCAACAGCTGCAAGTAGAAGCTTCTGATCATACTCTTTCTTTGATGCTAATGATGATGCACTGTTGAAGTGTTGTTCTAGTATTTAGAATCTGTCTCACCATCCAACTTGCTTGTTGGGCAATTGCCACCTCTTCAAAGTTTTTGTCTTTGATGTAGAAAGCATGTATCCATCTTATGCATAGTCGATCTTGCTTGTTTGCTACATCCCAACAGACTTTAGCTAGAGCAGCCTTGTTCCATGGATGCAAATTAATCAAGTTTAGGCCCCCACTTGATTTAGGTGTACACATTCAGACATTCTATCCCAGGCTACCAGAGCCTTTTTTGTGATCACATTTATCCCAGACCAGATGTAGCTTCTGCAGTATGAATCAATCATCTTCAAGACCCTTTGAAGGCAAAGTGAACAGCTGCGACCAATAGAATTGAATACCAAATAGCACAGTTTGAACAAGCTGTACTCTACCAGCATATGATAATTTCTTTGCTGTCCAGGAGGAGATCTTTGCAACTATCTTCTCTATCAAAGGTTGCCACTGTATCAATGAAAGCTTCTTTGTAGCAAGTGGGATACCTAGTATTTGAACGGCAGTTCCCCCAATGTAAAGCCTAAATGTTGCAGGATATCCATTCTTACAGCACCAAAGCACACTGAGCTTTTCTCCAGATTTGCCTGTAGCCCTGATACTTGAGGAAATTGACTAAAAACATCTATGAATAGCAGAGATTGAGGGAAGGTCACCTCTAGCAAATAAAAGAAGGTCATCTGCATAACAAGAACCTTTTTTGTTCCTGTAGAAAATGCATTTTTGTTTGTATAAAAAGAAGATCAGTTTTATAGAAGAGCTGTCCATTTTGGTTATCACTTTGGAGGTGAAATTTTCGAGGTCTTCTGTGGACATGTCGAAACATCTTTTTAGATGCATGTAGCAACTAGTAGACTTTTGTCCTCAATACCAAAGAGCCATATTTGAAGACCGAAGCTAAGGAACCAGCCAAATATTCAAAATGCATTTTTTTATAGTATGATTGATATAATTCTCTTTGTCGTTACTCATCTTGTCTTGATAAAAAAATACTAGTTGTGTTGCCTATAAAAAAGAAAAGAAATTACACTTATATCCAAAGGACGATGTTCTTAAATCTGAAGCTATCACATCTGAATAGGCACACATTTATGACTCTTCAACTTTCCCCTTTTCTGTTTTTCTGTTAGCAGGAGGGGGCGTGGGACTTATTTACCTACTACTTACAAGCATAGTTTTGATTGGGCCCATGCAGTCATTATCTAAAATATAAATCTTCTATGGATTCTTCCTCTTGTCGCCGAAGTTTGGCCAGCAATGTTTTTAATCTGACTCTATTATTATATCCAAATAGGCACACATCTAAAATTCGTCATCTTTCCTATTTTTTGTTTTCTCTGGTTCCGTCGTCTTTAGAGATATGCATGTTTGTGTTCAAAGTGTGAGGTTTAGAGATCCTCTGGTTTTATAGAAAAACTAATTCATCTTAAAATATTGCATATTTGAGTGAAAAGGGCTCAATAGAGCCAAATGGATATGATGATTTCCCCCTTAGATTCTCTCGACAACTTTTTGAACTTCGTTAGCTCCTTGGTACTAGAATAGTCTTTTTGTAATTGAGCTAACAAAGTCTTTTTTGCTTCCATAACTTATGTATTATTATGCATCTTCTTGACGCCAACGATGAAATCTATTATTACTTCATCAAAAAGAGCCAAATGGATATGATGATTCATTTAACCGAGGGCGCAAATAGAGCCGAATGGATATGGGTGATTCATATAGTTGATCCCAATTTATGTAGGGATTGAGGCATGGTTGTTGCTATTGTTGCAAATTTTCGTTCTAGATATTTGTAGTGGTAGTGTTTGATTGAATGCCCTAAGCTGCTTATTGGCCTTTGAAGTTTTTTTTTTTTTACAAAAAGCTGGATTTTATTAAAGAAAAAGAAAAGAGGAAACTCTTGATGATATAAGAAATTGGATCACATAGAACTAACAATTTTTTTGGCTTATGCAAAGCTGTCAATATGGTTAACAAATATGGAAAAAGCTGATTGCTGACAGTGAAGCTACCTTGTCTTTGCCTCGATTTCCCTCTTTAATTTCATTCTTTTAATTACATGGGGCTGTTTTATATTCATATTCCTGCTGACACTCTTACCTATTTGTTTAAGATACTTATGAAGTAAAAAAAAATTAGCATGTGCATTTTGTTTTTTGTAGATCAAGTGCCATAATGTGATTATTCTCACTGCGACAAATGTTGTAGAGCTGGATCGGCAATGGGATTGTCTGATCGAATTGGCAAAATCTAATGGCATCCTGGTATTGATGGATCCATTTGTATCAAAATGCTTTGCAACAACTCTTTCTGATGTGAGAGCTACGTAACCCTTTCTTAGATTCTTTTATGCCCCTTTTTATAGTTTCCTTCTTGATGTGTAATATTTAGAACTACTGAAGTCATTTCCTTTTATATCATGAGTATTTTTGAACCCTTGTTCCCCATGTGCTAGTAAGTGGCCTTTCCAAGTTTCTTTTTTTTCCAAACTGTTTCATGTTAGGACGAAAGACTCCTGCTTTCGCCTTTCTTATGGGAACTCCTCTCCCTGGTTTGGCTAACTATTGTCTTTTATGTTTTCCTTGGAACTTGAAAATTGTACCTGACAAATTTTTGATTATCACTAGGTTCTAGTTCTGAAAAGCAAATTTCCTTTTTGCTGTACTAGACTTCATGAAGAATGTATAAATCTGTAGTTCCCATATTGTAAATGAGAAGTGAAGAAAAATATGAATTGTTAATAAATCAGGTAAATAATATTCTCAGTCCCTTACAACAGATTTGAACTTGCATACTAAATGAACTGAAGCATTGGAAAGGACTTGTCATAGCAGAAAAAGGCACCACAGTCCAGTGAACTTAAGATCCTTTTCCCATGTTTTCTTATGTGCTCATACAAGGATAACGTTTCTAGAAATCCTAGATCTGCATATGCTTATAGCTGAAAAATGCATATGCTCAAATAACTTTCACTTTATCTATGTGCTGCTAGCATTCTTAGTTGCAATTAAGTTGATGTAATGGAACCTGCTCTGTATTGCGGCTATCATGCAATCATCGTTACAGATACTTGAGATAACAATATATCTATTCGTTCATCAATGGAGTATCATTAATAGTATTTTACACCCTGGATAACCTTCTAGAATTTCAGTTATCACATAATGTCAGAAATGGATATTTAATACTTCTTATTTTGTCCTATTCCATTGATCATTACGCGTCACTCTGTATTGCAGGTCGAAGTTGCTCNGAGTCCATCTACTTTTTTCCTCCTTCCTGACTCTTACCTGTTTTCTTGGATATGAAGGAGGCTATCGCAGATCAAGAGAAGGCCCTCTTGTAATTACATTTGAAGGAAAGGTAAAGACCTCTTGATGAAGATGTCACATTGGCTTTGAAGCATTTTCTTTTTTCATCAAAGTTGAATAGGATTTGTTGTGTTGCTGTAGGATCTATCAAGAATAGAAGCTGCTTCTCAGTCGTTGTGCCAGAAATTTCATGCCGGTGCATTCTCTGAAATTGAGTGACACATGCATTTTCCAGACTGTTTCCTATCGTCATCCTTTCTTGGCTTGCATATCCAAGTTATATTTGCCTAAAATGGCCTCTAAATCTTGGACATATAAATGCCAAAAAGGAGATTACAGGTTTAACGACTTCCCCGCGACAATGAAATAGAAGGATGGGCTCACCAGAAAAAGGAAAAAAAAAAAGATCAAGAGGAAATAATCGCCTCAAAAAGGGAAGGGAAAGGAGTAACTTTATTTTCAGATTTGACCGCAATGCGAATGCCAATATTTACTATTTCATAAAGTTTAAGACACAATTACTTAAAGCTTATTGAAATTCTGGGATCTAACAAGCCTTTCTTTGACACAGTATCTCTCTTTTCTGGCCTAGTAGTTTATCTTCTGCAATTTACTTGGTTACATTATGTTATTATCTGTCACTTTCTTAGCTCCTTGTAAAGCTGTGGCGTCTATCTGCTTCCTAAATGAAGACTTGAAGATAGTGAAAAACAAGTTTGAGAAAATTAATAAGATACAACACAACCCGCTCTAACCCAATGTATATATATATATATGACACAATTGCTATTTAGGACTTGAATTTTTTTTTCTTGATTACAAATTTCTGAAATATTTTTCCCAATGTCTTTAACTCTGAAAATGTTTAGTTTACATTAAATCAAAAGTTAAGAAAGTTTGAATATACTGAAATTCATGTTGTTTCAGCTTGGGCATTTTGTCTAACAAAACTTGTTCCAGTTACACATTTACAAATAATAACAAACCCAGTGTAGTCCCACTAATTTGGATTAACTAATATTTTCTATGAGAAAAGTAATAATTTAAAGAATAATCTAATTGCCTTCAGTAACTCATAATACGTGTAGTAAGCTTTTCAGTGAATAGGTCTTTATGTCGCCTTTAGTATTAGCGATCTACATTCAGTGACGCTGAAGTTGCCACTAAAAGTGAGACTCTAAGTCGCCTTTTAGTATTGGCGACCTACATTCAGTGACGCCGAAGTCGTCCGTAGAAGTGTTCTTTACGTCGTCATTAGTATTGTCTTCCTACATTCAGTGACGACAAAGTCACTAAAGTCTAAAAGTGGCCTTTTATATTGACAGCCTACATTGAGTGACGACTATACATATATGATACAATTGCTTTTTTTTTTTTTTTTTTTTT